CCTTAAGAAGTAGATGCTTATTATTCCCATTTTATAAATAGGGAAACAGATTCAGAGAAATCTAATAATTAACTTAAAAAGTTCCACAGTGAGGAGGTGACCAAGCAGAGATTAGAACCCCGGCAGTCTGTCTCCACAGCCCAGGTTCTTAATTACCATCCTCTACTGCCTCCAAAAATGCAATTCCTCAGCATCCATCTGATGTAATATTTTCAGACATCACAAATGACTATTACAAGACTGAATGACAAAAATGGAAAGATGCCTATAGCAAAGGAAAACAGCAGGCAACAAAACTGTCCATACATTTTGATTACATCTAGTAAAACATGCATTTGAAAACAGCTGGTAGAAAACATGTGCCATCATAACATAGGTTCTGGTAAAGTAGTGAGATTATGGGTTGCCTTTCTTTTGTTTTATATTTAAATGAGGTTACATAGCAGAAACTTCCCTTTTTCCTCTTTAAATCAAGTCCTCAGACCTCTATGAGGAAGGCTCTAGAAGCACTAGCATCAAGAATAAAGGTATGTAAGGCCAAGCCGTGTACTCAGAAGTAAGTGACACGGCAGGCAGGGTGGGCCTGGGGCTGCCTCTGAGAGGACGCTGGGCTGCACCCAGCAATCCCGAAGGTCTGCAGAAGGCTTCCAGAGGGCAGCACTTCCAGCAGGGGCTTTGATCAATTGCCATTTCTTTGGTCCACAGGAGAATAGTACCAAACTAAAACAAAACCTCTACTGCCCTAAATCAGCGTTTTCCAAGTGCCGCTCATTCCTATAAATTGCCACAATTTCTACTCCATGTGTTTACAACCTACTTTCTTAACTTAAATTTTTTCTTAAAATTTAATTGTTTCTCTTTTTACTTTAAACAGTTTTACTTAAAAGGGAAACTGTATAACACAATTGTAAATAGAAAGCTTGCACCCCTTGCCTTAAGTAGAAGGTAACTGTAAAAATAAATACTGTATATAAAAAAGACAAAACAAGGTTTTAGCTTATATAACTTACCGCCAGGGTTAGACAGTTTGTTTTCACAGGAGGCAGTTCGGATTTTAAGTACAATGGGGAATCACTGAAGGATTTTAAACAGGAAGAGACATGGTCTGACAATATTTTAACAACCCTCTCCCAGGAATTAAAAAAAGAATAAGAAAAGACACAGAACAACTGAACAACACCGTCATCTACTTTTACCTGTTTATAATTGTAAACACCACACCCTACAAGAACCCTTGTGCACTCTTGGTGGGAATGTGAAAATAGTGCAGTCACTGTGAAAAACAGTATGGTGGTTCCTCAAAAGATCAAAATAGAATGACCATATGAGCTAGCAACTCTACTTCTGGGTATACACCCAAAGGAATTAAAAGCAGAGTCTCAAAGAAATATTTGTACAACTATGCTCATAGCAGCTTTATCCACAATAGCCAAAAGGTGGAAACAACCCAAGTGTCAACGACAAATGAATGGATAAACAAAATATGGTATATACGCACAATGGAATATTCTTCAGTCTTAAAAAGGAAGGAAATTCTGACACATGCTAGTACATGGACGAACCTTGAGCACATTACATTAAGTGAAATAAGCCAGTCACAAAAAGACAAGTACTGTATGACCCACTTACATGAGGTTCCTACAGTGGTCTAAATCACAGAGACGAAAGGAGAGTGGTAGCTACCAGGTTCTGGGGGTTGGGGGGGAGGGTGGTAGACGAGGAGTTACTGTTTAATGGGTATAGAGTTTCAGTTTCGCAAGATAACAAGAGTTCTGGGGATGGATGGTGATGACGATTGCACAACTATATGAATGTACTCAATGCCAAAGAAATGCACACTTAAAAACAGTTAAGATGGGGGCTGGCCCCATGGCCTAGTGGTTAAGTCTGATGTACTCCACTTCAGTGGCCAGTTCTGTTCCCAGGTGTGGACCTACACCACCTGTTAGCAGCCATGCTGTGGCAGTGACCCACATACAAAATAGACGAAGACTGGCATAGATGTTAGCTCAGGAGCACATCTTCCTCAGCAAAAAAGAAAAAATAAGGGGGTTAAGATGGTAAAATTTATGTCACTTATATTTTACAATCAAAAAAACCCCACTGGGGCCGGCCCAGTGGCACAGTGGTTAAGTGCACACATTCTGCTTCGGCAGCCCAGGGTTCGCCAGTTCAGATCCCGGGTGTGGACATGGCACTGCTAGGTGGGCCATGCTGTGGCGGGTGTCCCACATATAAAGTGGAGGAAGATGGGCACGGCTGTTAGCTCAGGGCCAGTCTTCCTCAGGAAAAGGAGGAGGATTGGCAGCAGTTAGCTGAGGGCTAATCTTCCTCAAAAAAAAGAAACAAACCAAAAAAAAGAACCTCACAATTTAGGGGCTGGCCCAGTGGCACAGCAGTTAAGTTCGCACGTTCTGCTTCGGCAGCCCGGGGTTCGCTGGTTCAGATCCCGGTTGCACACATGGCACCGCATGGCAAGCCATGCTGTGGTAGGCGTCCCACATATAAAGTAGAGGAAGATGGGCATGGATGTGAGCTCAGGGCCAGTCTTCCTCAGCAAAAAGAGGAGGATTGGCAGCAGATGTTAGCTCAGGGCTAATCTTCCTCCAAAACAAAAAAAAAAAAGCCCCACTGGGGGCTGGCCCCATGGCTGAGTGTTTGAGCTCTCACGCTGTGCTTTGGCGGGCCAGGGTTTCACTGGTTCGAATCCTGGGTGCGGAAATGGCACCGCTCATCAAGCCATGCTGAGGCAGTGTCCCACATGCCACAACTAGAGGGACCCACAACTAAAAAAAAAAAATACACAACTATGTTCACGGGGGCTTTGGGGAGAAAAAGGAAAAATAAAATCTTAAAAAAAAAAAAAAAAACCCAAAGGCTGCCAATTTGGGCTTCAGCATCTGGGTGAATGGTGATCTATTCACTAAGATAGGGCAGACTGTGGAAGGCACAGCTTTGGGAAAATTAAAGAGTTTTGAGATGTGTTAAGCTTGATGAAAATTCAACAATGAGATGCAGATTTCAAGAAGGCAGCCGGGTATCTAAATTTGAAGTTCCAGAGAAAAAGTCAGGGACAGTATTACAGATTTGGATAAAAATAAGAATACAAGTACTTAATTTGGGGATTATTAGCATATAAATGGTATTCAAAACCAAAGGACAGGATGATATTACTTAGGGAGAAGTTAGAGAAGAGAAGGGAGTGATAAGACAGCCTCGGACATTCCAACATTCAGAGTCAAAGCAGAGGGTGAAAAATCATAATAATGAAGAGAATCCAGCAGTGAGATAAAGACAGTGCTTTTAAAAAAAGAATCAGATGCCAGACTCAGGCCCTGTGAACTTGGCAATAAGAGAGGTGGAGGGCAAACAGGTATGTTTAAAGTCTCCCTGGGCTAGTTCAACAGTCCAAATGTGAGGGAGAGGCACAAGGGATGAAATGCACAGTAGCAGTGGGAGTGGAAGGAAGAAACAGAAGCGAGATACTTAAAAGATCCCACCGACAGGACTCGATGACTAACCAGATGTGGGATGGAAAGGGGAGGAAAATAAAGGACATACTGGTTTCTTTCTTAGGAGACTGGCAGGTTATTGCTGTCATTAAAATAAGTAATACAAGACAGAAGGCTAGAAACCAGAGTTTTGGTTGTTTTCATAGTGGCAGGGGTGGGGGTGTGCAGGGAGAAAGGCTGAAGAAGAGATAATGATAGTCATGACAGATAGCATTAATTAAGCACTTACTCATTAGCGCTTTCTATCTGTTTTTGGGACTTGGGCATCCCTCTGCAAGGAACACTGTCATCAGAGATCACAGCACCCTCACTTTGAAAATTAAGGGACTGAAGTTAGAGAGCCCAAAGTTACACGGCTGGTCAGTAGCACAGAAGGGCCTCAAACCTAGGTCTGATGGACTCCAAGCCAAAGTGTGAGGTACCTGTGGGATACCAGTTAGGGATGGGGAAGTCATCAAGGCAGCTGAAGTCTTAGGACAGGTGTGATCACCCAGGAAGAGAATACACAGATCAACAAATTATTATTCATATACTTGGCTAATTCTTACAATGGCACAGCGGGCTTTTTTCCTCACCTATAAAATGAGGAATACTTAATTTGTAGATAACACCCACCGAGGGCAAGGACCTTATCACGGTTTTTGTATTCCAACGTTTGCAATGCCTGGAACAAAATGATGGCTAACAAAAGTTTGCTGAAGCTTTAAAAAAACACAGCAAAACAAAACTCCAAAACTTAGTAACTGGCCACAATTAGAAAAATACTACACAACATAAGAACTACTTCCTGATCAACTGTAGCATGGTTTTTTCATTTCCTCTCTGTAGCAGGCTACAAATGCACTGTTTTTTTCCATATCACAATAACGTCTGTTTTACAAATTGTTCTGCTGTAAGTAGTCGACAGGAGACAGAACCCAGTGAGACAGGCTCTCTCAGCCACTGCTCAGCGCAGATGCGTACTTTCTGGAAAGACAATTTGATAAAATGCATCAAGAGCCTTAAAGCCCTAACTCTTATTTAGGAATCTAGCCAAAGAAAACAATCACAGATGTGGCCAAAGATTTAGGTTGAAAGTAATCAAAAATATCCAATAGTAGAAAAATTATTAAATAAAACATCATACAGCCATTGGCTACAATATCATATGTTGCTCTTGAATCAAGTTTTTGAAGAACATTTAAGGATACCAGAAAATGCTTTTGATAAGAATAATGAAAAAAGCAGGATATAAACTACACCTAGTAAGACTGTAATTTTGTGTCTATATGTATATATAGTCAAATATACATACATAAAATTATTATTACCTAGAAAAAAGGTTGGAATATACCAAAAAATACTATAAGAGTCCCTCTCGGTTGGAAAGATTACAGAAGATCTCAATATTCTTTATGTTTTTCAGTATTTCTAAAATTTCTGCAAAGAGTACCTCTTCGTCTTAAAACTCAAAAAAATGTGATAAAATAAAGGCAAGCCAGCACTCACCTTCTTTCTTTTTCTGGAAGAGTTCCTTGTGGGGTCAGGCTTCTCCAGCTCCGCCGACTCTGCCTCTTCCTCCGCCTCTTCCTCATCAGGTATCAGAGAGTATTTGGTCCCACCTGGCTGCATGAAACAATCCTTCGCAAAGTGGCCTGTAAGAGAAGCAGACGAGGTGGGGAGGGGAGAAGCAGTCTCTCCTCTCAGCAGGTGCACCTTCCCCAGCAGCTCCCGAAAGGGGCTGGCGGGTTCAGGAGATGTCACTGCTCACTCAGAGCAGCTGCTGGGTTCAGGGCAGATTTCCTGTCACTTCAAGATGGCACTGCTCACTCAACCAGAGCCAGATCAGCAGCTGGTCCTAGAGCTGTGGGCGCCACTGGCACTGATTTGGAAATGGCAGAGGATATGAGGATGCAGGCTTGCGTTGCCCTCCATTAGCAACGGGGCTTAGTAATTTTTAAAGGTCTATTTGGAACTTACTCCTGACAACGAAACGCTGCTCCAGAGAGCAGAATGCTTAGCAGAGGGAGCTGAGTGGCAGGCCAAGCCCTAAAGGAAGATAGCTCTTAGGCAGCTGGCAGGAAGGCAGCACTCACAGCCAAGCTAACACACAGAGAGACGGGCACAGTCACCCGGGGACACTCAACATTCACAGACTGTCAGGTCTGGCAAGGGCCTTAGTGATCATCAAATCCAACAGTGTATTTGCAGAGGATATGAAGGCCCAGAGCAGAGAAGTAGCTCAAGGTCACACAGATAGCAGCAGAGCTAAAACTTACCCCGGGTCTTGTGCCTCCCTGCCCTGTGCTCTTTCTGCTGCACCAAAACCAACCACCTTTGGCCTGACCTTTGCTGACTGGGCCAAATTCCATCTCTCATTATTCTTCTCTGCCTCATGTAACACCTGGTAGACACAAGTTGAAGGTAAGAGGACCCCACCCTCCCTGAGCCTATAGTACTATCAAGGGGCCCTTTAACAGATGCTACAGAGCTGTTTTCGTCTGAACTTCTTGTAGATCTGGTCACAGGGACACAGAGCATTTGATGAGATCATCAACAAGCTATGTGTAAATTACTTTGCAACTCTGAGTCCAGAAGCTGGACAGTGCTTGGAAGGGAAATACAGCATAAAGTTCTCCAAAAATCTGGAATGTTTCCACAACTCCCCTGAGGAAGTACTCTTCTCTCAATCTCATTTTTCCATTCCTCCCTCTACATTAACAATAAATAGGAGCTTAAACCCCACAATCTCAACCAGGACACAAACCTGCTACCAGTCACTGTAGAACAATCAAGACAGCAGGGTAAATGGAAGGCTAGGGAGAAGGGGTGACAAATTGAGGTCACTTTGAAAATGAGAAGCCTGGCAGTCCCTCTCATTATAGCTCCAACAAGGGAAGGGAGGCTGAAAGAGCTCTTTAATATTTGAGTAAGACTAGAAGAAACCTGAGGAACAGAGCTAAAAGGAAGTGACTAGCTTGTATTCTTTATTACTAAAAGGATATTGTGTTCAGAACTCCGAAGTTAAAGAGAAAAAGATGAGCAAGAAAGAGTTGGACATGGATCCTTAAGGCTTATATTTCCATTTAATTTTTGTAGCAGAACAATAATGGTCCTTAGAGATAAAAATTTAGAGTGTTAATCCTAATCAACCCTCTTCCCCCGCCTGGCCTAGTACGTGGGGACCTTGCCGAGGCAGGGCATCCGTGCAGAGGCAGGAGTGGTGGTGGTGGGGGCGGGGTGCTATAGTATCCAGCAGGGCCAGCATTCAGAAAATGAACCAGAAAAAGCATCAAGCCAAGAACTCGGATTTGAGTCTAGTAGGAATAACAGCATGAGCAGGTGAGGCCGTCACTTGACTGAAAAACAGGGTGGGCAAAACTCACACTAGCCGCCTCCTTCATCCAGTAAGGGGTCCGTCCACAAGGAGAGAGACGGAAGTGACAGAGGCGTCACCTTACCTTTGCAGCCACACTTCTTGCAGGTAGTGTTCAGGACAGCCTCAAGGGTGATCTTCTGCCCGGTGTAATCCTGGAAGGACCGCCTCCGCCTCTCTTCCTGCCTGTAACGAGAAAGATTCTGAGTCTTGGCCCTCTTAAGAGATGTGGCTGGAGATACTACAAGGTAATGCTGCCTGTTGGTTTTTTGTTTTGTTCTGGCAGGCAGAAGAGAGAAAGAAGGAAAAGCACCGGGCACAAGGAGACAGGCAGTGAAAGCAATGACGTGAAATAGACAACTTTTTCATTCAGGTCAAGGCTGTGAATTAATCACTGAGACTAGACCTCATGTCACAGAAGCACAAAGGATGAAGACACACTCACCTCACTAAGCCCACTACAGCCCCTACAAGGTCACTCCTGGGTTAAAAGACTTCCAAAGATTTCCTTGAAAATCAAGTCCCAATTCCTTACCTTGGTGTTTGAGGCCTTTCCCAGTCTCTCTCTAACCTATTTTCCAGCCTCATCTTTACCTGTACAACGTGCTCCAGCCAAGCAGACTATTTTACCTCTCGAGATGGCTCACTGCTTTTGCTCAGGCAGCTCCTCTCTCTCAAACGCTCCTCTTCCCCTCTTTACTTGACTACACTCAAACATTTCAAGGCTCAGCTCAGTCACCACCCCTCCTCCTATCAAGTCTTCTTCCCTGAGCCCCTCAGCCAGAATTCATCTCTTTTTTCACATTCCCACAGCACTTTTTTATCATTCTAAACTGCTGACCAAAGTATTACATACAGAAAAGTGCTCATAAGTACACAGCTTGACTGATTTTCACCATCTGAACACGTCCATGTAACCAGTACTGAGATCAAGAAACAGAACACATCAGCACCTCACAAGCCCCTCTAGTAACGCTGCCTCCCCCAAGGGTAACCACTATTCTAATTTCTAATAGCATAGATTCACTATACCTATTTTCGTAAATTATATAAATGGAGTCATAGAGTAGGCACCCTCTGTGTCTGGCCTCTTCTGCCTGTTTGTGAGATCCAACCATACTGTTGTGTGTAGTTGTGGATCACTCATTTTCATGCTGTAAAGTATTTTGCTGTTGATGGATATCAGAGTAATTTCTCTTATAAACACTGCTTCTATGAACTGTCTAGTACATGTCTTTTGGTGAACATATATAGATGCATTTCTTTTGGGAGATGCCTCCTTCCCAGTAGGAGCGGACCACTGGGCTGTAGGACATCAGCTTTAGCAGACACTGCCAGATAGTTTCCACAGCGTGTTTACCAATTACACTCCTACCAGTAGGGCCTAAGCGCCCCAGCTGTCATAGCTCTTATTTTTACCTTTACTATAACACACAGTCCCTGCACACAGTAGGTACTCAGAAAATGTTAAATTGAGGAGTATCGCCCTCCATCACTCTCTTTCAAACTAACTGTATCCTAAACACCCTTCAATCCTAGCACATATCCCACTTTATTGCACCACATATTTCTGTTTCTTCTCTAGCTCAGGAGCCCTTTTTATAATATCTGACTCGTGTTTGTCTCCCTGACACCTCAGCCCAAGGCTTGACAAGCATTAACAAATGTTTGTTGAAATTTCTTTGCTCTTCACTCAAAATATTTTTTCTTTACCTGAACCTCTTTAACCTTGAACTCTGAATTTGCCTAAGATTTTTCAATCATTCACCAGGTCTCTATATATATAGAGTCCAGCAAAAACAGAGAAATGTTCTGCCAAAAGAACCACATTACCCAGAGAAATGCAGGATAACAACGTCAAAGCAGAACAAAGCTACCCACTTCACATATCTTAGCCAATAGTTTCATAGGATATGCGGGCTCAAGAGAGGAAATGCAGAGGACAAAGTTACTCCATGTTCTGTCCCATTCATTCTTCAAAGTTCAGCTCAAATAGTGCATCTTCTATAAAAATCCCTGCTGCCACAGGCAGAGTTAACTACTCATTTTATTTTGCCAGATTTGTCTACATTTCGCCTCACTCTCTGTCCCATGAGCAGGACTTCAAAGGCAAAGTCTGTGTCTTATTCTTCTCTCTACCTGAGCAGGGAGCACACCATCTAACACACCACTGTACAACAGAATGCAATGATGGATATATTCTATAAACATGTCTGTTCTACTGAACATTTATGTCTGTGGCTATTGAGCACTTAAAATGTGGTTAGTGTGATTGAGGAATTAGATATTAAATTTTAATGTTTAATGTTTGGATATTAATTGGATATTAAATTTATTTAATTTTAATTAATTTACACTTAAATAGCCATATGTGACTAATGGCTACCCAATTGGACAGTGCTGGAAAGCATATGATTTAAGTTCTGAAAATGTCTGCTCAAATTCCTAGTTTTTGCTCTAGAAGAATCTTACTCAACGAATAGGGGGTCATCTGTCTGGTATGGGTCATAGGAGAGGGTTGTTCCAAAGAGTGAAGCTTGAGTAACAAAAACCAAGGTGCAGGGTGAGGAGGTGGAGAGAAATGGGGAATTACTTATCAACTGGCATAAAGTTTCAGTTAAGCAAGACGAATAAATTGTAGAGATCTGCTGTACAACATTGTACCTATAGTCAACTATACTGTATTGCACCCTTAAAAATGTAAGAGCGTACATCTCCTGTTAAGTGTTCTCACCACAATAAAATTTTTTTAAAAAACGAGGCAGGATCTTTGGGACATAATTTGAACAAGTCACCAACTCCATGGCTTTCAGGCATCCTTATTTGTAGAGGTGAATTTCAAGTAGCTGTGAGTCGCATAATAAAACCCTCATTATAATCAATTCCAATATTCTGTGGATTCTAACATACTACAAGCCAAATCATACCTCTCACCTAACACTCAATTCCTCACGTCACTCGCCACATCTCCCTTTCTGTCCTCAGTGCCACCATGCTAGTCTAGGCTTCATGACATTTCACCTAAACAGTAACAATCCCCTCATTGGTCTTCCTGCCTCCAACTTTCCTCCTCCAATCCATCCAGCACACAGAGTTGGACTAATCTTTCTTTTTTTCAGTTCAACGAATAAGTGGCCAGCGCCAGTGATTATGAGTAAGTAGATTCCAATGATAGGACATGGTCCTTTTCCTCAAGAAGCTTACAGTCTAGCAGCAGAGGCAGACATATAAATGGGTAATGATAGTGTGGTGAATCACCAATGTTCTTTCTAAAGAATATGTTATGCTGGCTAAAACCAACTGGAAACTGCCTTTAGCCCCTTTCCATTTGCAGACTTACTTTTTCAATTACCTTGTTAACACTTCGGGGCCTGAGGGAATGAAATATATGAAGGCTAGATTTTGATGGAAAATGAAAGGTAGCTGACAAACTGTGGGTGGCTAGAGACAGCCTAAGGATATTGATCATTACACGGTGAGGCCAGAGAACGGGGTACTCGGAGAGATTAATCTGATCAGGAGCCCCTCCCACTCAAAGGCTTAAGAAAAATTCATATTCTTTGACCTGTATCCAAAGCTCTCCACAATCTGGCCCCAACGCATCTTTCAAGCCTTACATGCTAGTACTTGACCTTCCTCTTCCTTTAAACAAGACTCCCAAATGCGCCGTGTGCTTCCCTGACTCAAGGCTTTCCTCAAGCCCTTTCTTCTGCCTGGAATACCTTTCTTTCCCTTGCTGTCTGACAAAATCTCATCCATTCTTCAGGACCTCGCTCAAATGCCACCTCTTCTCTGACCATTGGGACCTGAAATCAACTCTTCGTCCTCCAGCTAATTCCCAGAATTCTTTCTTTAAACCACTCTTTTAGCATTTATTACATGTTGCCTTATATTAAAGTTATTTGCATAATTATCTCATTACACCAAGCAGTAAGGTCCTTAAGCAGAAACTTTGGTATTGCCATCGTACCTCATGTAAAATATGAACTCAGTACATATCTGCTGAACAAATGAGGAAACGGATGCTCCAAAGAATCTTATGCTACACAGACTCATTAAAAAGCATAAAAAGCACTAACTAAATGATTGCTACACATCAGGCACCATGGGAGAAAAGAAAGATAAGATGTGGCCCCTGTTCTCATGGGTCTTACATAGTCTTTCAAAAGAAAAGGTGTGATCATCTCAAAGAGACATTTTAAAACAAGCACATGTTTGTTTTGTTACAAATAATTACTACATATTAAGTTTTTACTATAGACTGGAAACTAAGGCTCTTTACAAACAAGATTTTACTTAAATCATTCTACCTGAGACGTGGGTGTCATTACCTCGATTTCAGCGTGAGAAGCTGAGGTTCAGAGAGGATAGGTAATCTGCTGAAGGTCATATACTAGTTTGGGGCAGAACGAGGATTCTTCCTGATTCAACTCTAACTCTAAAATTTGTCATTATTCCACCATGCTATGCTTGCTTCCTGGATGCAGCTTTAGAAACAGTTTATAACAAAAGTTACTGGTTCAGCCACTTGGTTATTATCAGAAATAGCCTATATAGAGAGACGTGTGCAGCACTAAACCAGGGAGCCCTTTCCCTTCCCTACACTTGTTCTGAGAAAGAGAGGCAGCTCTTTTATCTTACTTGTTTTATGTTTTACCTTTGTGAAGGTGGCTTTGGGAAATTTTACTGCTTTTTAATGAGTCTGTATAGCAGAGGATTCTTTAGAGCAGGAGCAATTTATTACAATGCAATCAGTAAGTGCCAGACTTAAATAACATTTCTGAGCTCTGAGTTATAAAAGATTTCTACTGTAACTGGAAAGTATTTTGTCAATAATCAGCTCTATAAACATGTCAATATTTAAAGGCTAAACTACAGAAGCACGAAAAACTCTCTAAGTCACATGCAACATCTAGAAGCATCACGCGGTGAAAATTCCACTAGCTTTACTGGCAGGGAGACCTAGATTCAAGTCCTGACCCGCTATAATTTACTGTATAACCACAGGCAAGTTATTTATCACCAAGCATCACGCAAGAAACTAGGACTATAAAGCAAAATGGAGATAAGATCCATTTTGCAAGTTGTTACGAGAATTAGATGCACTAAAGTATATAAACTGCCTTCCGTGACGCCTGGCACTTGGTATGTAGTCAATAAATATCACTTCTCTTCCTTTTAGGTAAAATTCCTTCACATCCAAAGTGATTTTGCTCAGAACTATAAACATAAGGGTTTCCAAACTTTTCACCACCAAGATCCCACTCAAACAACATTTATTATTTTTAATTTGTTTTTTAAAATTAATCAATAACATAACAGCCACTGAGGGCACCTGATTAGCATGATAAACAATGATATTTTATCATTACAAGCCACAAAATAATGTCATAGTTAACCTGAGGATAAATGTATGATTTGGGTTGGCTTTCTATAACACTGGAAACAGTTCATAAGCCCCCAAGACTCCTTCAAGGGATCTAGGGATCTAGGAACCCCTGGTTAGAAATCACTGGCATATATTCAAGAAAGACTTTGAGACGGACAGCAATTTCCCTCTAGCACGAGACACCATCCTACATAGACAGAAAATCTTCCATTCCTAAATGAAAGGTCAGAACAGCCAATGAAAGTAAGGTGTTGTGTTCAGAACACAGTGTATCCCAAGACGCAGGAGTCTAAACCCCACTGGACTTGCTCCTAGATTACCCTACCCTCCCACGTGGTCTCTGCCTCTCTTCAACCCCAGTTTTGAGAAGCAGGTAACAGGTACTTCATGAATGCTTGCTGGCTAACTGGCTAAAGGTCAGAAGCATAAAGAGAGTAAGGGGAAGGAAACAAAACTGCTGATGGAGCATGTCTACGCTGGGAGGGTTATATGGTAGCATTTCACCTTAGAACTCTACGTGGCAAAGTGTTATCTACAATACTCTATACCTCTAAAAACCAAAGATCACAAAGGTTACACACTCATCAGTGTCAAAGTCTATAAATGGTAGAGCTCCCAGGTCAGCCTGATTCTCTGGAGCATTCTGTGGTGTGAGAGGAAGTAGGATTTTAGCCTTTCCAAACCTTTTACCTACTCAATGATAACGTTGTTGGGGTCGAGGTCTTTCCCAGTCCCTTGGTTCACAACTTTCATAGAGAGGGATACTTTTATCCTATCATTTTTCATCTGAAAAAGACAAAGCAAGGTCACCAAAAGCTCAAAGTACATCATTTAGACTGTTGATCTAAAATTATCTAAGAATCGAAGCTTTTATTATCATAACAAACAGTGAGCTCCTCTCACAGCAGCGGTCCTGGGTTAGGAACCTTGGGGGTGTTAACAGGTATAACAGGCAGATCCTGTGGCAGAAGCATTTTACTTAGGAAATGGTTTTCATCTCACTCTTGTCCCCCTGGAGGGGAAAGACAGAGTGGTTGCTCAGAAATCCAAGGTCTGTGGAGATAACTAGGCAGAAAACAAAAGCTGTTTCTTCCAGTAAGTTCAGCATAATGATCGGTTCAGAGATCCAGGAACCCAGAATGGGTTTCAGAACATTCCAGTAGACTAGATCTCCTTTTGGATTTTGCTCTAGAGCTTCTTTAAACATGAAGACAATTTTTAGCCACCTTGGTCTTCTTTCGCTTCCTCTAACACTTGAAGCCCATCTTCACTTCGGGGTCTTTGCATGAGCTGTTCTCTTTGCATGGAATATTCTTTTTTAATCTTTTTTCTTTTTTTAAACATTTTATTTTTTATTTTCCCTTCTTCTTCCCAAAGCCCCCCCAGTACATAGTTGTCTATTTTAGTTGTGGGTCCTTCTAGTTGTGGCATGTGGGACGCCGCCTCAGCATGGCCCAACCAGCGGTGCCATGTCCGTGCCCAGGATCCGAACTGGCGAAACCCCAGGCCACCGAAGGGGAGCGCACGAACTTAACCACTCGGCCATGGGGCCGGCCCTGCATGGAATATTCTTATCCCAAATTTTCATGATTCATTCCCTTTCCTTCAGGTCTCAGCTCATACACCATCCCCTCAGAAAACCCGTTCCTGACCACTTTATTTAAATCTACCTCCAATATTGTTTGAACCCATTATAGCACTTACTATAATCTGCAATTATTTTTTTTTCTTAAGATTGGCACTTGAGCTAACATCTGTTGCCAATCTTTTTTCTTTTCTTCTTCTTCTCCACAAAGCCCCCAGTACATAGTTGTATATTCTAGTTGTAGGACCTGGCTCTGCTATGTGGGATGCCACTTCAGCATGGCTTGATGAGAGGTCCTAGATCCGCACCCAGGATCTGAACCGGTGAAACTCTGGGCCGCCAAAGCGGGAGTGTGCGAACTTAACCCCTTGGCCATGGGGCCAGCCCCTGCAATTATTTTTTAATTATTTTAGTTTGTTTACTTTTTATTTGTCTCTTCCAGTTATATTCTATATAAGCTCCACAACAGCTGGGATCATTTACGCCTGGTTCACTCTCGTATCCCTCAGACCTTTGAGGACACATTAAGCACTCAAATATTGTTGAGTAATGTCTCTTTCAGATCTGTCTCCCCGGCCACTCTCTGGTACAAGAGCAGGCCTTGGCGTACGTGCACATTCTCCTGTGGTCTGTCCACACACGGCCCGCATGCCCTCAAGTGAGTTGTAGTTAACAGCGTCCTTCAGTGCTTTCTCACTTCCCTCATGCTGCACGGTGCCAGGTGTTAGGAACAATGACTGTAAACTCTATGTCCTTTTTCAGTTGGTCCAAATTGAAGTGTCCCTGGTAGGTATTCCTTGAAGTTTGTAATAAAGCCTGGTCCCAAGATTAAGTTTCCCTTCTCTCTTTTTGGTTCTTTACTTTTTTGGTTTTTCCTCCCATCCACCACTTGGGTCAACTTCAGGGAGGGAAGTTTTATAAACATGCACCTGTGCACCACATTTACTGTAGTTCACAGCGTTCCTTCGGAGTCTGCAGGACAGACAGCCAGAAGGCTGAAATTCAGGTCCGATTATAGCGGTAGGATTCAAAATAATGTTATGAGCCACACTTAACAACATATACACACTTACCATCATAAAATACCAAGAAAATCTCAGCTTTTCCCCATCTTTTCTAACCACACGAAAGTTGCCCAGAACTTTACCTCTCGGCCAATAAGCTTCACCCACACCTTGTCTCCGACATCGACAATCTCAGAGGGCTTATCCACACGACAGGACGACATGTGAGTTCGATGGACCAGACCTGGGCACAAGAAGAAGAAATAAAATAAAGCACAGGCTGCGTCTGGTATTTATACTCTAAATAACAATGTAAGAAGAAGGTGGGAGTTGGGGATTCACTGACTCGTTAATTTAAACCCAGTCATTAATTTAAAACTGAAAATTAAAACAATTTGAGACTGCTTTTCATACCTAATCAACTAACAAATATTCTTTAAAATAATGGCCAATGTTTGTAAAAATGTGATAGAGTAACTACACTTATGTAATACTGATAAAAATACAAGTTGGTAAAATTCTTTGAAAGCAAAGGGCATAAGAATATTTATACTATCTTTGATGCAACAATATCACCATTGGAATTTCTCCAAAAGAAAAAATTCAATAGAGGCAACAACCTATAGGCATACAAAAATACTTGCAGTATTGTTACCTACAAAGGTTAAAAATAAAAATTACAAAACAAACTAAATGACCAATAATTGGAAAATAGCTTGGTAAACTATGATATATCTATCATAAGGAAGAATAAGCAGCCATTTAAATTACAGTCAAAGAAAATAATTACCATAGATGCTAAGTTAAAAAGTAAATATAAACAAGATGCCATTTTTAATCTATTAAATTAGCAAGATATTTAGAAAATAGTAATAAGCAATGTTGATGTAAGTAAAGTAAAATAAGAAATACTGCTAGGGCTAGCATAAATTTTTAGAAACCATTTAGCAACAGCTATCAAGAGTGACAAAAATATTTAATAAAATTAATTTACAATGAAATAGTTAAAACATAAACTAATTATTAAACAACTTCCTGCCTGTCCAAGTCCCTTCCCGGGAGAACCACCTTCCTCATACCCTAAAATAATCTGGTCAGTCCGTGTGATTGGTTGGAGCTGGCCTAACCCCCAACCGTGGACGCATGACAGTCTTGGTCAATCAAGGTACTTCATCCCCTGGCCACAGTAAGCAGTTGGTTCAGGGATAGAAACTAGCTAATCATACCATCATTCTCAAGACTTTTGTCAGGATTATAAACTGCAGACGCCAATGCCCATCTTTACCACCAGATGGCAAGAGTCAGCCAGAGGGAAGCGAGAAAGAGCATCAGCAAACAAGAGCCAAAGTCCTGGGGGTGTGAGCTGAGCACCTGATATAGCCCTGGCAGAAGCAAGGTTTATCCTGCACTGCCCAGCAAAATTAGCCAAAACATAGCTCAGCTGTTTCTCTCCCTTGCAACCAAAGAGTTCTGACTAGTAATTAATTTGACCGTAATCACTTCTGGAACTCTGTCCTAAGAAAATAATCTTTTACATGGAAAAAGCTGTATGTACCTGGAAAAGCAACCTACGTCAAAACATTCGTTGTATTTTTGAGACAGAAAAATTAGAAACAACCTAATATCCGACAACAAGGTAACAGTTCAGTGAACTATGGTATAGCCACTTGGTTCATTAAAAACGATGTTCAAAAGACTATGTAAAACACATCAATAATTCATTCTTTAGTAAATATTTATTGATGGCCCACTATGTGCCAAGCACTGTAGGCAACTAGCATTTTCCCCTATAAATAACAAAAATACAATGAAACATTATATAGTATGATTATGAATGCTTAAAATGGATCTTAAAAATTAGAAAGAATGATGGGGCTGGCCCCGTGGCCGAGTGGTTAAGTTCGCGCACTCCGCTGCAGGCGGCCCAGTGTTTCGTTGGTTCGAATCCTGGGCGCGGACATGGCACTGCTCATCAGACCACGCTGAGGCAGCGTCTCACATGCCACAACTAGAAGGACCCACAACGAAGAATATACAACTATGTACCGGGGGGCTTTGGGGAGAAAAAGGAAAAAATAAAAAAATCTTTAAAAAAAAAAAAAAAAAATTAGAAAGAATGATCCAAAATGCTATAACAATGGTTATACTAGGGTATAAGATTACAGGTTAATTTTTTTCTTTTGTTTATTTTCAAATATCTTAATAGAGAAAACCCGTCTATTCTGGGGGAAATTAACATAATAAACAATTATTTTGAATGAACATAAACCAGGAATCTAAAGCAAAACCTGATATGACAAAGATTTATGACTACAATAATCGCCCTCCTTGAAGTTACTTGGTAGAATTACTAACCTTAATTCTCTTTCTCTCAATTTCTCTCACACTCATGCATCCACAAGGATATTGGCACATGCCCGTAACTCAAAGTATCTGCCCTCTCTGCTTACCAGAAGCCACTGCCTTCTATGACTACGGTCACTTAGTCTCACAGACCTCCTTCAGCTGATCTGGAGGTCGATAGCCCATCTATCTGAATAACTCTGGGGCCTCTAAAATACTTTATATTATTATACCATCTATGTTTTTAATTTTAGACCATCACATAATCTCCAAATTGGGTAAAATTCATGAAGCTGGGTTTTTTTGTTCCCCATGATAGTGTAATGAGCAGACCAGCCTAATTGGAAAGTCTGGAGAGGAAATTCAGATGCCCTAAAGGAAAATCTTTCATTTTGACATTTTTTGGCTGTAACTGTCCTCTGATTCTAAAATTCACCTCTTTTCTCTATTGCTAATGGAAGTTGTGAAATTAATGTTGAACCTAATATACCTGAAACAAGTCTATTTATTGGAATACCACAAAGAAAGAAATAAAGGCATTAACCATTTGTCCTTCTCCAACCTGATCCCAAGTAGGATTTTTTGGTCCAGGCATTTCTCCTGGTTAAATATGGCATTTCTCAAAGTAGTCATAGCAAAAAATTGGAAACAAAAGGGAATACAAAGTTATGCTAGGGTGCAGGATTTTTATAGTTGAGACAGTAATGGCTTACTAACAAAAGGCCTTGGCTTATAGGGTAAATTAAACAAGGGGAATGGTCTAGCCCTCAGTCTTGAATGCAGATGTCAGATAGGCAGTTGGATATGCAAGTCTGTAGCTCAGAGTTGGGGTATGACTGAAGATGCCAACGTAGGCATCTTGGGCATGCAGATGTTTGTATACCAATATATTAATCAGACTGTCGATTTACTGATTGTTTTAGGGAAAGACACAATTCACAAATTTATTAATTTACAATAGAGGATACACTTTCCTTACACCTGGAAAGTTCCCAGTCCTTATCTAGTTAAACTACCCATGGCCCCCAGTATCAAACACTTGAAAAGTTAGTGATCAGAAATTGCCTCAACATGGAATCAGAAAAAAAGGGAGACAAATGTTGTGAGACACACTGCCAGTCCGTGAAGGTTTAATGGACTATCACTTCCTCATAAAAGAATCCATCTCTCTAGTCTTATCATCAGATTCATTTCTGCCCTAGATAAGGCAAGAAAAACAGTGCCAACTTCAGACTCTCAGCCTTTCTTATACTCTGTTCCAGGCTGACAACTCCCCACCTGTTCATATAATCTCTCTCTAGACAGAACGATGTAATCAACTGGATTTCAGTCTCCTAAATTCCAATTTCATTCCCATCCCTTTCCATGGAATCACAGCCAGATTATCTTATCCAAGTGTTGAGTGCTCCCATCTCTTCAGTCACAGATTTACAGATAATTACCTGGTATATTTCTACCAACGGCTGATCCTACAGTCTGTACGGGGGATTCCTCACCACTTTCACTCTCAGAAGACAGTCTGAATTCTTGGGAAGTACTTCATTTCTCCCACATACACCACCAACAGCTGGATCGAGTGAAGGGCAGAGAGAACCAAATAAAATATTGGAGGGCCCCCTCACTGTGCTGGGTACCTTACTAAATACAGTACACCAACCCATTCACTTAATCCTTACGTCAACCCTGTGACATAGGTTCCCATAAGGAAATAGCGTAGAAGTTAAGTAAATTGTCCAAGGTCACAAAGCTGATAAAGAAAGAGCTGCAATTCAAACATCAGTCTGTCAGGTCTTCTACGACACATTGATATTTCTCCATTTTTTTTCTTTATTATTGATCTGTGTTATCTTTTCATTAAAAAAGAGAAAGATGAGCTCATCTACAAATAGTAGAAACACACCTGATTCTGTTTTAGCATGTGCTCCAAAACGAAACAAAAACAAACAAACAAAATGTTTTGCTCATCATGCCACATGGAAGGGAGTTCTGAATTCAGAGCTGTTTGTGCCTGGATTTCTGACATCAAGCCAGAAACACCCGAAGACCTATCAAGTCTGTCATTATGTTCAACAAACCCAACGTGACAATGAAACAGAATGAGTCTCATCTGAATGTCTGCTGGTAAAAGAACAAAAAAAAAATCTGACAACTTGGAAAGAGCTGGTATTTCAATCACCATATGAGAAAAAGAGAGTCTATTATGGTTCCTTTAAACATATTCTCCCAACTGCGTTGTTCTTTCACAACTTCCACTGACAATAAAGGAAAGAGGTAAAATTACAAATCATTAGAGGACAGCTGCAGCCAAAAAACGTCAAAATAAAAGGTCTCCTTTATGGGGTCGGCCCCGTGGCCAAGTGGTTGAGTTCACACGCTCTGCTTCAGCGGCCCAGGGTTTCGCTGGTTCAGATCCTGGGCGCAGACACGGCACCGCTCATCAAGCCATGATGAGGCGCCATGCCACATGCCACAACTAGAAGGACCCACAACTAAAAATATACAGTGATGCACCAGGGGGCTTTGGGGAGAAGAAGGGGGGGAAAAAAAGGTCTCCTTTATCTTTGGGGATGTGAATTCCCCCTTTAGACTTTTCAAATAAGGTATCTCTAAGCAACAGTATATGACAATAATGTAAGCACATAAGTTAAAGTGCTTTCACATCCTTTATCTTGTTAGGATTATGGTTTCATTCAAACATTTACTATCACACACTATATTGTAAGCAAAAATGGATCCAAGGATGAATAAGACATGATCCTGCCAGTCAAGAAACTCTAAAAATGCACATCATTCCCATTTCACAGCTAAGGAAACTAAGGTTCAAGGACTGAGCACTTGCTGAAGTCAAGAAGCTGGTAAAGGATGGAGCTGAGACTAGAATTCACGTATTCATTTAATAAAATTTACTGAACACCCACTATGCCTCAGGCACTGTCTAGGCCCTGGCATCCCAAGCCCTGACTACTCCGCAGCTCAGCAGATAAGTGCAGCCTCACTCATTCATTACACTGCACTGTCACTGATTTACAGCTCTAGACTGTGAACAATCTGAGAGCAGCAGGGACCATGTTTTCTTATCTCTGTGTTCCACTTAACACAGTGACCGGAAAACAGAACTCAGTAATTATTTGCTAAATGGAATTCATTACTAAAAATATTTGAGCTTCTATCATAAGCAAGGCACTTTAAAAAGTCTAACATTGAACAAATAAGCTCTGTTCTCAAAATTTCCTGGTTTAGTGCTGGTGGGCAGAGGATAGTGGAGACAAAAAGAACTTCATAAGCTATTTTAAGCTTAAATTTAAATTAATTAAAATAAAATTAAAAAGTCAGGGGCTACAATATTGGACAGCACAGATGTGGTATAATACAAAAATACATTTGGTCTTTGTCCCTGATTCCTACACAGAACTCCTAAAACTCTTGGAATTTCCCTAGTAATAGGAGAGTTTTTTGTTATTCATAATAAGCCCCTTGTGATCACACCAGAGTTAATGCTAACGAGGTGATTTACGGTGGGACCCCTAGATAGTCTCTGGATGGGGCTGGTGACCAGCAAAACCAAATAATTAAGAGGACTGAAACTTTCAGCCCCACCAACCTCCAGGAAAGAGGGTGAGGGACTGGAGACTGAGCTCTATAAAAACTCTCAAACAATGAGATTCCGAGAGCTTCCAGGTCAGTGAATTCATCAGCTTACTGGGAGGGTGTGTGCCAGAGAGGAAATGGAAGCTCAGAGCACCCCCCTCCCATACCCTGCCCTATGCATCTCTTCCATTTGGCTGTTCCTGATTGTATCCTTTATAATAAACCAGCAAACACAAGCAAAGTGGTTTCCTGAGTTCTGAGAGCCGTTCTAGCAAATTATCAAACTTGAGGAGGGGATCATGGGAAACCTTGCTTCATAGCCTGTCAGTTAAGAAGTACAGGTATAGGGGCTGGCCCTGTGGCCAAGTGGTTAAGTTTGCATGCTCTGATTCAGTGGCCAAGGGTTCACCAGTTCGAATCCTGGGCGTGGACAGGGCACTGCTCATCAAGCCATGCTGAGGCAGCACCCCACATGACACAGCTAGTTAAGGACCCACAACTAAAAATACACAAATATGTACCGGGGGGCTTTGGGAGAAAAAGGAAAAATAAAATCTTTAAAAAAAAAAGTAGTACAGGTAGCTCGGACTTGAAACTGGCATCTGAAGTGGGGGCAGTCTTACGGGTCTGAGCCCCTTTAACTTGTGGGATCTGACAGTAACTCCAGGTAGACAGCGTCAGAATGAAATTGAATTGTTAAGCACCTAGTTGGTGTCCAGAGAAGTGGAGAACTGGTTGGTGTCAGAAAATACATCAGAACAGATAAAGAGGGGCCAGCCCAGTGGCATAGTGGTTAAGTTCATGCTCTCCGCTTCAGTCACCTGGGGTTTGCAGGTTTGGATCTTGGGCGTGGACCTAGCACTGCTTGTCAAGCCACGCTGTGGAAGCATACCACATAAAATAGAGGAAGACTGGCACAGATGTTAGCTCAGCGACAATCTGCCTCAAGCGAAAAGAGGAAGGCTGGCAACAGATGTTAGCTCAGGGCCAATCTTCCTCACACACACACACACACAAAACAACAAAAACAACAAAAAAAGAACAGATATAGAACATTTCCATCATCACACAAGGTTCTATCAGACACCATGAGAGGGGAAAGAAAATCTAGTTTAAATCTGAATACTTGGAGGAAGTCTTCAACTCAGTAGTGGTTAAAGAATTCTGAGAACAGAAATCTGAGAAAAATAACTCAAATTAGAGTCTACCTTCCTGAATCAAAGATGTTAAAATCTGGAGACCAGAGTTATTTCCTAAGTCAGTCCTTTCAGGATGGGACTTAATAATCTTCCCCCTTTAAGGACAGAGAAGCTAAAATACATTGTAGGAAAGTCAACTGCTTAAGTTATCCAATAAACCTATGGAAGAGCCCAGGATTAGAACTCAGTTTCCTCCGAATTATTTGGCTCCCTGAGCTCCCCCTCTGAGGCTCGTCTCAGCACAGCTGTCAGACAGATTCTCTGGAAGCTGCCAGCCACAGTCAGAGGCATCACCTGACAGGGTACGGACATGAGTGAGTTGAAGACTGACTGCTGGAAGGTGGCAGGCCTTTAATCCCCAGTGTCACACAAATGCTCAAGTGAGGATGGGATCTTCAGGTACTGGCAGCTATGGCAAGTACACTAACAAGACTATCTGTCTGAGGGGCACGCCTATAGGGATGGGGAGGAGTTCCACCTCATTAAACCCTAGCCAACAAAAAATGAGAAACTTTATTATTGCTGACTGCTGGCTGGAAACTACTGGTAAGCCATTTCTAATGCCAAGATGCGATTTGCAGCACAGTAGTCGCCAATGCTAGAGGTATGGCTTTATTAGCCAAAGGTTAGCTGTTGTTTTTTTTGAGGAAGATTTGCTCTGAGCTAACATCTGCTGCCAATCATCCTTTTTGCTGAGGAAGACTGGCCCTGAGCTAACATCTGTACCCATCTTCCTCTACTTCATATGTGGGACGCCTGCCACAGCATGGCTGCTTGATAAGTGGCGGGTAGGTCCCCACCCAGGCTCTGAACTGGTGAACCCCAAGCCGCCAAGGCAAAGAGTGCAAACTTAACTGCTATGCCACCAGGCCGGCCCCTGAACTCTTTTTTTTTTGGAGGAAGATTAGCCCAGAGCTAACATCTGCCGCCAATCCTCCTCTCTTTTTGCTGAGGAAGACTGGCCCTGAGCTAACATCCATGCCCATCTTCCTCTACTTTATATATGGGACACCTACCACAGCATGGCTTGCCAAGCAGTGCCGGGATCCGAACTGGTGAACCCTGGGACGCCAAAGCAGGATGTCCGAACTTAACTGCTGCATACCAGGCCAGCCCTCCATTACCATCTTTAATAAATCTTTAATTTATTTTAGCACAAGGACTTAACAAGTTGAGTCTCTGGATCTACCAGCAGTGTGATATAGCAGAAAGCCCACTTGGCTAGGCATTAGGAGGCTTGGGTTCTAGTCCTGGCTGTGCCATTACCTAGCTAAATCACTCTGAGTGAGCCATCAGTCTGTGGAACTTGCCTTTTCTACTTAGCACTGTTGTTTAAGAAACAAATAAGATTATAGATGTGAAAGAGATTCTCCAAAAATGTTCTACAAATGCCTATCCATTTACAAAGAAAATTTAAAGCACTATATAATTTGTATATATATATATATATATATATTTTATATATAATTTGTAGTGGCTACAATACTATTTCCATTCCATGTGCTATACACTAGAAAACTCACAATGTTAACCTCAGAGTAAGTAGTTGTCCTCCCCCAAAATCCTAAGATTTGGGACTTGCCTAGGGTGGAATTTAGGTAAGAGCTGATTCCAGAAGTGAGCCTAAGTGGCTATACCCCAGGCCTCCCCCCAAGTCAGAGAGCACCATTCTTCTGAGTTAAGATCTGCTAAAAATGAACTGTTATCATTTGCCTGTATTTATATCTCCACACTAAAAACAAAAACAAGAACAAACTACTGTCTGAAAAATGTAGAGCTTATAATTGGGATGTGGTGGGAGTAACAGCAGAGAGCGGAATGGCAGGGCTGAATTTCAAGTTATAGGCTCCCACCTTGCTTCCGACAGCCTGGGATTTTGATAAAGGCTCCATAGTCTGTCACCATAGCAACCTATAAAAACAAACAAAAAAAGAATCAACGTCACACAAATGAGAATCTCTCCTGTGTAGCATTTAACCTAGTCTCCCTGAATTTCTACTTGGTACTGACTGCTTCTGTCTACTGCAAAACTGACTAAAAGTGATGTTCTGTCAAACATTCTTTCTGTTCTTTTTGAAATTTAGACTGACAGGTATGTGTGAACACATTAAAAACACTGGTGAGATAGCACTGTCGTCAGATGCTATGACAGTACCTAGGAATGCCCAAATCCCACACCTTGGGGATTTCCAAAGGAGGTATATGAACAAAAGAAATAAACAGCAGAAAATCAGGAAATAAAATTACACTTTATATTAGCTGGGACTGCGGTCTCCAATCCCAATACAGAGAACTTTAATACTGTGCAATGGATCATGTAGGACATCCCTTTTTCCTAAACTTCAAATCAAACCAAACCATACAGCCTGCTCTATTTCACTCCAAACCTGTCTTAGGTTTTATCAAGACAATTAGAGAAAAAGCCCACACACAGACATCTGACAGAACCTGAAAAGATATGATTAGAGAGAAAAAGGGTTGCCCCCGGGTCTTTTGCAGAGCTGACCTCAGATGGAGAAGTGAGAGGCTTGATGCATCTATGAAATATCTAATAGCAATGAAAGGCCCAGAACCCTCAAGATAAATCACTATCCCAGACCACCTCTCCCTCTCATCCATCCTCTAGCCCACCCCCAACCCATGGATCGGGATCAAAGTTGCCACTGCATTCTATATTTATCACTCGATTCATTATTACTTGTAAAATATTCATACAGTCTTAAACATATAAACGTTATTTTCTTCAGTAACTTGAATTAGTTGTTTCATCTTGGGCAATCACTGTTTCAGCTTCACCATAACGAAAACAAGGGGACTGAATAAGACAATCCCTACCACACTGCTATTCATCAACATATACTGAACACTCACGACACGCAAAACCCTCTTCAAGAGCTTTACATAATCTCCTGACACCATATGATGTTGGCACTATTCTTATACTCATTCGATAGATGACAAAACTGATGACTAAGTAACTCACCCAATGTTCAAAGCTAGTAAGTAGCAGAGCTGGGATTTGAAAGCTGGGATTTAACTACACTAGAGCTGCTCATGGGTTCCCTTTAACTATACAATCCTAACAGCCAAAAGCAACGTGACAGGGGCTGGCCCCATGGCTGAGTGGTTAAGTTCACATACTCCACTTTGGTGGCCCGGGGTTCCCCGGTTCGGATCCTGGGTGCAGACACGGCACCGTTCATCAGGCCATGCTGAGGCAGAGTCCCATATAGCACAACCAGAGGGACCTACAGCTAGAATATACAACTATGTACTGGGGGGCTTTGGGGAGAAGAAGAAGAAAAACAAAAAAGAAGACAGGCAACAGATGTTAGCTCAGGAGCCAATCTTTAAAAAAAAAAATTGTAAAAAAATGCAATGTGTGGGGCCAGCCCACTGGCACAGGGGTTAAGTGCACACGTTCAGCTTCGGCGGCCCAGGGTTCGCCAGTTCAGATCCCGGGTGTGGACATGGCACCGCTTGGCAAGCCATGCTGTGGTAGGCATCCCACATATAAAGTAGAGGAAGATGGGCACGGATGTTAGCTCAAGGCCAGTCTTCCTCAGCAAAAAGAGGAGGATTGGCAGCAGATGATAGCTAACCTTCCTCAAAAAAAAAACCCAATGTGACATTTGATATCTTATCTGCTCCTGGCAACAACCTTCGGAAGTACATATGGGTATATACTTATGTATATATATGGATATATGATAAGTATATACGGAAGTATATACAGTAGGTCCCCATGTTGCAGATAAGGTGGAATAGTATAGGTACAGAAAGAGCACAGGATTTGGAGGGAAAACTGTGGCTTCTACTCCCAGCTCCGACACTTCTTATCTGTGGAATCTTGAACACAACTTGCCTTTCAGGGCCTAAGTTCCCATTTGTGTTGACTTTGCTGCTACAGATAATAAATGATGTGCATATAGTACCTCGCACTGGTATCTGGCACCTAATGTGCATTCAGAAAATTGCAGCTTTTTAATAATTTACAGTCCAAGATACTGAAGCAGAAAAAGGTTAGTAACTAGTGGAAAGGCACGCAACTAACTTAGATACAAGCTAGGCAAAGAACCTCGATCCCATCAGTCCTAGTCCAATGCCTCCTACTTCACTAAGTATCATCATTACTCACTTCAATGTTAGGATGGGAATAGTTAAAAACTTCCATTCTTCTCATTTTTTTAATGGCACTTGAACTAACTCTCCAAGATACAGCATTAACAATGGGTTAAGACCCAAAAGTTCAAAACTCCTGTTTTACACTGATGAATATGCTATGCTGGGGTATAGACCAGGCAGTCCTAAAGAAACAGTACAATCATGCAGATACTAGTACTTAAAATCAAGGCAAGGGGGAACTGGAGGAAGGACTTTAGAGATTAACCAGTCCAATCCTGCTATTTTTCAAATGAGGAGAGTGAAGACCAGAGACACGAAGTGCTTACCCAAGTTCACAAAGCAAGTTGTTCTCTGTAAAACAGGGCCACACGGATAAAGAAGAAAAGACTTTAAACTTCTAAATTACAATAAAAGCAAATCCTTTCTTTCTGGACAAACTAAAGACACTTTGGCTTTTGCTCCAGGGTTCTAGAGAGAGGGTTGAGATGTCTCATATTGTATAATAACATTATTTAAAGGGCACAATTATCTACCAAAGTTAAAAGTAGCATCTGGAAGTTGGAGCCCAAATCACCTTGCTGGTGTAAATTAAGACAATCTCACTTCTCAATCCTGATGCTCCACTGTCACATTAGAATCTTTTGAGGAAATATCATAACAGATCTTAATTTGGCCTCTCCCAAAAGGAAAGGTTAATGTGCTCCAGAATGGATGCATGCAACTGTTCAGTTAGGAAAAGGCATTCGTGCCTATTTCCAGCACCAGGTGTTTCCATCACTGTGTCTCCTAGGGTGCAGTCAGAGTTGAAATTAACAGAATGGCACCTGCTGCAGATGATCACACAGTCTGCCTGGTGTCCCAAGAATAATTAGTCAAATAGCTCAGGGGAAAAAATTCAGTAATTATCTCAACTGAACTCAAGGTTTGGGCAAAATGAATTTACCATCTTCAGATTAGAGGTTGCAGTGGCCTTGAAACCAGGTATCCACATAACGTAAGTGAGAAACTTGAGGCTCAAAGACCTAAGTCACTTGTCCCAAATCACAAAGTTAGAAAGTAGCATGGCTAGAATGGAAGTTTTTGACTTCTATTCCAAGGCCATTTCCACCTTAGCAACACCAATCTCCCCTCAGCATTTCTTCGGCTAAGGCTGGGCTGAGCAAAATCCCAACTCGCAGTGCTGTGCTTGTGCCACTACCATGCTTAACCGACTCCAGCACCAAAACGCCTCTCAGAGGATGAGAGAAGGATGAATACTGGCTTCTCAGCTGTTCGGTCACTGGGCCCCTCAGTCCTGCCAAGCCTGCTAAGAGAACTGCTAGGTATGGGCTGCGCCACCAGTTTCTGGAAGGACAATTCGTCCTAAGAGGCTTGGGTTCAACTTCATTCAAACATTTACTGAGCACCTGTTTGCAAGATACCAAGTCAGGTACTGTGAAATAAAAACAACTTAAAAAAAGAGATGCCCAGCCTATTTTTAAATGAATTTCAAGTAGTTACCAAGATACTTGAGACAAAGCATGGTTTCTGCCCTCCTTAGTAACTCACTATCTAGTGGAGGAGACAGGCACTTATACAAGTAACAAGAGTACACAACAGACTGTGATAAATGCCATAATTGAAGAACAATGACTGGGGAACAACCAGATCTACCTTCCTCCTATACCTCAATTCAGTCAAAAGAGTTCTTACAGGTCTTTTGGTTCCTCCATGCGTTTACATACAGCTGGACAATCCCAGGTACAGAGTAGAAGAAAGTAGACTTGGAGAGAGGACTTGATTTAAAATCCCTGTTTTGCCATTTATTAACCACTGGGCAATTACCTAACTTTTCAGAAGAGTTTCCTTATCCATAAAATGAGAGTAACAGTTTCTTTGAAGAGAGTCAATGACACAGAATGCATGACAATGCTGACATACAATTAGGCTTACAAAATTATTTTTGAATTTTAATGTAACTGAATCTTACTTGTAAATATTAGGCACTCATTAAATGTTTGTTAGACGAATATTTTGAAAAAGTTTCTTCTTTGCAATTTATCAGGAAATTTCTGTTTCCCTAATTCTAGTCACCAGTTTTTTTTTTTTTAAAAGATTGGTACCTGAGCTAACAACTGTTGCCAATCTTTTTTTTTTTTTCTGCTTTTTCTCCCCAGATCCCCCCAGTATACAGTTGTACATATTTTAGTTGTGGGTCCTTCTAGTTGTGGCATGTGGGATGCCGCCTCAACATGGCCTAATGAGCCGTGCCATGTCCACGCCCAGGATCCGAACCAGTGAAACCCTGGGCAGCCAAAGCGGAGCATGCGAACTCAACCACTCAGCCACGGGGCCACTCACTTCTAAATGATGTTTCAAAATGTGCTCCTGAATACTAAGCTAGAACTATAAAGTTCTCTCTGAACACTCCCCTAGCCCAGCCATCTTCGACAGCAAAATATAAAACCTACACTAACTTAAGCTCCCCCTTATTTAAGAAGAAGCTGTAGGTCAGGAGTCACTTTAGAACTCTGAGTGAGTCTGTGGAGGGCAGAGCATGCTTGTCTTTCCTTCGTGCGACACCTGACAGGTGAGGGCTTCACGATCAGAAAGATCAACTTCATCTTCAGTGCTGCTACTTCTTTCTGAGCCCTGGTACCTCACTGACCTGTGGGGATACCACGGGCCTTGAAAAAAGAAGACAGAGGCTTCAAGAGCAGAACTGTTTGTTATTTGTTAGAAAGTTATCCTTTGTATCTTAACTGTTATGTTACCAGTTGGGATCGACTTAACAGAAGTCGAGTCACGATTATCTATAACCAACTGACAGTTACAAAGTCTGTCCTCAAAAGCCTCAAATGATTAGAAGATGAAACTTTTGTCAACTGTAAAGCAAGTACGAATGCCATAAGAAAGACAGAGCTAAAATACTACCTGTACTCATAAAGATGCTGAAAACAATTTTTTGGCTTTAGTTTTGCTTCAAGAAGAGGGAGATAATATTAAGGAATTCCTACCATGTCTCGGGCATTGTCTTTTTATAGATGATAGCTTATTTAACCATCATGGCAATCCCATGGAAGCAGTTAGTATCTCCACCTATCAAATGAGAAAACTGAGGTTCAAAGAGATTAAGCGACGGTCTCAAGAATCACACAGTCAGTAAGCAAAAGAGCTAGGACTGGAATCCAGGTTTTGTCCGGTCCCAAAGCCTCTGCTCTCTAAACAAATACAATCCTTCTCCTTCAAAGGTTGATCATTCATACAGTCATCAAAGATGGAATGAGTACCTATTATTTTCTACCCTCCTCCCTGGGATTGAGACATACACCAGTGAATAAAACACACAGGGTTCTGTCCTCATGGAGCTTAGAGTCTTGTGAAGAAGACAGATATTAAACAAGTTCACAAATAAATACACGGTGAGCCTATTTACTTATGGTGGGAAGAAGATCACAGAGGAGATGACATTAGGGCTGAGACCCAAAAGATAAAGAGAAGTTGGTGGGAGAGTGGGGTAGTTAGCAGCAACTCTGCATGTGTGAAAGTCCTGAGAAGGAAGCAAGCTTAGAATGTTCAGAGCTGTAAGGAGACCAATGTGGCTGGAGCATGAGTAGAGTAGAACAAAACATCATTGTCAGGGTAAGCAGAGGCCAAGTCGTGTAAGCGTCATGAAAATGAGTTTGGATGCATTCAAATACAGTGAAAAGCCTAGAGGAGCTATGAGAAAGCAGCACAGTCCAACCTGTTTTCAAATGGCATTCTGGCTACAATGTGAAGAACAGAGTGGAAAGGGGCTACAACAGAAGTAGAAAGCCCAGTCAGGGCCAGGCAAGAGATGAAGAGCTTAAACTAATGGGGATAAAGAAGTATAAAGAAGTATTCAGACTAGAGATATACTTAAAAGGTGGAAATGGACCAAAGTGGGAGGGAAAATCAAGATCAAATCAAGAGGACAGATCAAGGATGATGCCCAGTTCTAGCATGGGTACTTGAATGGATAGTGGTTCCATTTGCTAAGATGGAAAAGACCAGAAGAAGAAGAGAATTGGTGAGAAAACCAAAAATTTAGTTTAAAACATAAATTAGAGGGGCTGGCCCCATGGCCGGGTGGTTAAGTTCGTGCGCTCAGGCTGCAGGCGGCCCAGTGTTTCGTTGGTTCAAATCGTGGGCGCGGACATGGTACTGCTCATCAAACCACGCTATGGCAGCGTCCCACATGCCACAACTAGAAGGACCCACAACAAAGAATATACAACTATGTACCGAGGGGCTTTGAGGAGAAAAAGGGAAAAAAAATAAAAAAATAAATAATAAATAAATAAATAGATAAAACATAAATTAGAGATGCTGTAAGGTATCCAAATGAAGATGCCAAGGATGCAATTAGAAGTCTGGAGCTTAGAGGAGGCACATGTGGTAGCCAGACACTCCACGAGCCCTTCCCATTTAAACTGTAATGCCCAAGATACTCTCAAGCAGACAGGAGCTCAAACCCAACTGCTTTTCACCCCTAATCTATGCTTAACATAAATGGCAGATTTTCAAAGCCGAAAGAATATACCTCTCCTTGGAAAATAGTGTAGAGAGCAGGCAGGTTCTCCATGGTCTCGGGTCTTCCTGAATTCATCCTTAATGTTCTATGGCTCCTCCATTTCTCTTCTGCTAAAGCTACTTCAAGTGTCCTGTCACAAAGAAATAAGACAGACAACAATTTGAGAGACATCTGCATTAAAGAAGAAACGTGTAGACAATCCGCAGCTAGTCTCTGCAGAATAATACCATTAGATTTAATGCCATGTACTCTTATCCAAGTCTCTCTTGTCCACTCTAATTGTGGAAGTTTTGGAAGCCTTGATCTTATTTCTTTTCACTTTGATACTTACCCATTAGTCTACTGTTTTGTTTGTTTGTTTTTAATTGCTATTATTGCTATTCTTTTGCCAAGGGAAGGCTTTGGGGTGTGTATGTGTGTATGTGAATGGATTCTAAAAAGGGGAATAATAATAGTAATAAGAGTTAACCTTAATCAAGCACATACTATGTCCAGGCACTGGACATTCAATATCTCATTTATTCCTCAAAACTCTCAAGATGTAGGTTCTATTATTATCATATTTTATAGATGAGAAAACCAAGGCTTCCAGAGGTCAAATTACTAGGCCTATGTCAAAAAGCCAGCAAATGGTAAACGCAAACTCTGGTTAACACCAGAGTCCACACTTTTAACCACTACGCTAGGCGTTAAACCTGAAAAGATTTCAAAAAGAAAGAAAATAGCTTACTTTTTTTTCCTGGTAAAATTAAAAACGCACATGCTCATTTTAAAAGTTCAGACAATACATTAACGATGAAAAGAAAATCATCCACAATTCAATGTTATTTATATGCTCTGACTTTTTTATATGTTGAAGTGTTTTTTTCAGTGGAATCATAAAATCACTAATTAATCATTAATAACAGTCATTTTCTTACTTAATATATTTTAGCAATTCATACACACACACACACTCACACCCCTTTAACGCCTACAAAACAATCCATTGTTGGATGCATCAAGTTTATTTAACTATTTATGAATCATGTTAAAATGCAGATTGCAGTTCAGCAGGTCTGAGATGGTACCTGAGATGGTACATTTCTAACAAGCTCCCAGGTGATGCTGTTGCTGTCCGAGTAGCAAGTCTTAGAGCGCTGGATCCAGTCAGAAGGGACCTTGGAGATACTCTCACTCAGCCTTCTGGTTTTATCCAGAGAGCAAACTAGCAATCTAGTAGCTCTTAATCATGCTCGTTTACTCTGCTGGATAAATCACTGCTACATAAAGATAAATCGAATGGTGCTGCTCTCAGTGCTCTTTTTCCTCCCAATTATACCTGACAGCTATACGACTTGAAACTCTATTGTCCTTGGGTTATCATAAGCAAATACTTTCTCCTCTCCTCAGCCCCCAGCACACTCCCTCACTTTCAGACGATGACTACAGGTCCTACTTGTGGAAAGTCTTCCTGACTTACAATGAGCATCCATGAACCCAACCGCCTCAATTGAAACAGAAATGAATGAAAAGTCTGTCAGCCTTCTGAAGCTTAGTTCTAGTACCATCCCAAGGCCCAGGAACATCCCCATCCTTGAGTTCCACAGGACAACTTTGTACTGTATGATAAACTTGCCCTTTTCTGCTTAGGTCAGCCAGAGGTGGTTTTATTACTTTACTAATAGCACATAGAGAGAGTGGATGCATGTTTGTCAGTTCTTGAGAAATGGCTGATAAACAGCTTAAATCCAAGTACCACAGCCTGGTTGGATCCTGCCTCTTCCATGTCCCAGCTACACAGTCTCATCTCTAGTCCTTCCCTTCCTGCTGCCCAGCACCCTTCACCTCAAAAAACCATCCCAGAACAGAGGTTATTAATCTAAGGCCAATGGCTCTGTCAAGACACCTTAATTATCCCAACTCTTGGAGCACTAGTGAGGTACAGCATCGACAGAGGCATCAGCGGCTAGGACATCTAAATTGGGCTCAAACATCTTAGTCTGCCACTTGTTCCTCTCTACACAAAGGTCAGGGAAAGAGCAATAAAAGCGGAAACAATCTTAAGTTGTTTCTTACAGATTTCTGCTGTGATAAGAGTACGAACAGCTATGTTTAGGGCTCTCCTGTGCTCCTTCTGTAGAACAGCAGCCTGAGAAGCCCTATGCAATTCTTCAAGAAGGAAACTGGCATGCATCTTTGAGGGAAAGCCTGAAATACCACAGTAACAGGTCTACAATTTCAGGAAAGTAAAGGGTTGCCACTTTCTAAAAAGGGATTTAAAATTTTTTTTCAAATTTTGTTCCACAGAAACCTAGGGTTCTATGGTGGGTTCTAGGGTTCTATTAGAGGCAGGGATGCACTGTTAACTTCCTGACTTCAGTAGTCATACTGTGCTTATACAGAATGTCCTCGTTTGTAGGAAAACTATTCAGGGGTGATGGGCATCAGGTCAGCAACTGGACTCTCAAATGATTCATAAAAAAATATTATTTGTACTATACCACCATAATTTTGCGGTTGCTTCAAAGTTTTTTTTAAAAAAAGTGCATACAATTAGGAAAAAACATAACCACACCCTGTCCTCCCTCCTCTCGAGCAATGAGAAGTTCAGAGAACAAGATTAAATTGGTAAGATACTTTATAGCCTCTTTGGAGTTTCATTTCATGTGTCACCTTACTGATCTGGCCAAGATTTTCTTTGCTTTTATTGCTGCTTTTGTTTGTTTGGATTTAGACCTGTTGTTATTACTTCACAGTACTAATTGGATAGAACCCTGAGAGTTAAAGGGATTTTAATTTATCTTTAACCCAAGTATAAGAATTGAGGGGAGAGGGCCAGCCCGGTGGCACAGTGGTTAAGTGCGCACGTTCTGCTTCTCGGCGGCCCAAAGTTTGCCGGTTTGGATCCCAGGTGCGGACATGGCACCGCTTGGCAAAAGCCATGCTGTGATAGGCTTCCCACGTATAAAGTGGGCATGGAAGATGGGCACGGACGTTAGCTCAGGGCTAGTCTTCCTCAGCAAAAAGAGGAGGATTGGCAGTAGTTAGCTCAGGGTTAATCTTCCTAAAAAAAAAAAAAAGAATTGAGGGGAGAATCAGTTGATAGGTGAAAATACTGGGGTATGAGCAAAGGCAGAATAATGACTCCAGGGCCTGTATTCTCAACCACTATTCTACACTGCCTCAAAAAGAAGTCGCAATCCACACCCAAATTTTGCAGAGTACAGCTCTAACACTAACCAGGTCCCAATATTACAGATTCCAATGAGGAGTAATCAGAAGGGCATCAACACGGAAGTGGCTGCGATGAGCAGGGTCTGGATTCATTCATTCACACACATAACCAAGGACCATTTCTTATTTGGTTTTGTGTTTCCAGTGCTTAGTAGACAGCAGGTACCCAAAGTTTTCTCAAATGAGTGAACAGAGCCTTACTATGTGCCAAACACAGAGAAAGAAGGAAGAAAGCATTCTGATCTAAAGAATGTAGGAGAAGGAACTGAGTTCCACACAATATGCTGGACAGGTCAGAAGACAGGAGACTCAAATGCCAAATTAGTGGCCCAGTCTTCCTCACAACGTTCCTCCGGGGGGCCTCTCTAGCTCTTTCTTCTGTTTCTCTTGTAGGCTCATCCTCCTGTTCTTGGGCATTAAACGTTGGAACTACTCAAGGTTCCGACTTACGTGCTCTTACCCACACTTATGGCTCAGTTATCACCTATATGCAAATTACTCTCAAATTTCTACTTCCAACAAAAATCTCTGCGTTCCAAAGCCATAATTCAAATTGCCTCCTGGATGTCACGAATGACCTCTCCCTTCCCCTGCCAAAAAAAGAACTACTCGGTTGCATAAGCCAGAAACCTAGGAGTTACCTTTGATTCCTCTCTTTTCACGCCCTGCATCCAACCCATCACCAAGTCCTACCGATTTTACCTCCTACATATCTCTAGAATCTGGTCATTTCCCTGCAGTTTGTTCCACCCGTACCTCAGTCCACGGCGACAACAACAACGCTCACCTAAGTGTCCTATCTACACCTAACTCTCTTCAGATCAGTTCACACTACTGAGCCTGAGGGATCAAGCCACCTCCTCCATCACACACTCCTTCCCCGTCAAACAGAAAAAAGGAAAAAACCCTCAGTGGTTTCCCATCAGTCTTAAAGTAAAAGCTACAAAGTCCTGCAGGGTCTGACCTCCACCCGCCTCCACCTTCACGGTGTACCACACTCCCCTTCATCCTCTTCGTACTGGTCACAACGGCCTCTTTGAGCTTTTCAGTCTTTTTCCTCCCATTTGCCACAGGGCCTCTGCACAGGCTATTCTATGTGGAATATTCTGCCTTCCTCTCTTCACTCAACTAATTAGAATTCTCCCTTCAGGTACCAGTTCAGGCGTCTTTTCCTCAGAGCTGCCTTCCTGCTTCTTTCAGGCACTCATAGCCTCAGGTACCTCTCCTGGATAGCACTTATTTTACGTTTCTTAGTGGGATCATGGTTTAACACGTCTTCTCCCCGCCACACTCGAGCCCCCGAGGTCAGGGCCCATGTTTGGTTCATAATGCATCCTCAACGCTTTGCACGGTAAATAGCTACAGGACGATTAAAGAGAAGGCCTCGTTCACAGGTAGAAGTGCAAATTTCTCAATAAGACCGTGCTCTGGAGAAGCCAGAGTCGGACGTTTCCTTCGTCCCTGTCTCTCTCGGGGACATAGAGCAGGCCCTAGTAAAAGGCTGCAGAATCAGCGGCAGAAACAAGCCGGTCTCCTCACTCAGAGAGGATCCAGGCCTTGTCTCCCCGGGAGCGTCCGGCACCGGGCTGGACACAGCAGGTGCCCGCTGAAGAAGTCAGCCGTCGCGGGCCCCAGCAGCCGCGGAGACCCCCAGGCTCTGCTCTCGCCTGGAGAGGGGACCCAGGCCACTGCACGCCAGACCCAGGACCTCGGGGCCCGCCTCTGCCCTCTGCCAACAAAACTTCAGCTGAGAAGGGCCAAGCTCACACCACACCGCTGAGGCGCCGCCTCCACATTCCGCAGCCACCCACCCCGACCTTCCTAATACTCACTCTCCGTCAGCTCCAGACCCCTCGGCCGCAGCATTGCGCGAAACGCCACAACCCAGTCAGCGCGCTGCCACCCACAAGACACAGCGCGCCTAGGCGGGACTCCACCTCCATCCACCAATCCTGAAATCCTACTCCAGTGACGTCAGAGAGAGCTGACCAATAACAGAAGACTGTCCAGGGGGCGGAGCATAGGGGGTATTGGAAGCCGATTGGTTTCTCCAAGCCGGAAGTGCCGGGGGAAGGAGTAACTCGGCACCAATCGTGTGGTGGCTGAGGGTGTCGGCGCGGTCTGTGGCGGCGTTAAGGAGAGCGGCCGCCGCCATGATAGAACAGCAGAAGCGCAAGGGTCCGGAGTTGCCGCTGGTTCCGGTCAAGCGGCAGCGGCATGAGTTGCTGTTGGGAGCTACGGGGTCGGGCCCCGGAGCAGGGCAGCAGCAGGCGGCTCCTGGAGCTTTGCTGCAGGCGGTGAGTGAAGTAGAAGCGGCCTTCCGTCCTCAGCTCATCTTCCTCTCCTCGGAGCGCTGCGCCGGGCGATGCCGCGCCGGCCCTTTCTCCGCTCTGTGGGGGCTGAACGAGGATTTCTATTTGGAGTTAAGGCCGAAAAACGCTGTCCAAGCGGCCCACAGCCCTCAGAGGCTGCACCCGTTTCCCGGGTTGACGCCGGTTTCGCCGTCTCCACTGCCCGGGATGCGGCGTTAGAATTAGAGTTAAGGATCTTGAACTCAAAACCGGGACCGGGGCTTTCGGATCCTAAATCTTTCGGGATCCAGCATAGGGTAGACATCCAGAAAAGTTTGTAGAGTGGTTGGAGGAAGGAAGGAAGGAAATGAGTGATACTGGTTCGCTTTGGGACTTTGGACGAGTTGCTTTTCCCTTTATTTCTCTGCACTAGCGCTGTTAACAATTGAATAATCGCTCGCGGTCATTGAGCCCGTGTGCCAAGTGCTTTGTCTGTGAAAACTCCGTTAATCTTGGTAACAGCTTAAGAGTAAGGAACTGTTATTATCCCATTTTGTAGGTGGGAAAACCAAACTCTTTTTCTAGTAAGTGATAGGAACAGATTTTAAACCCAGAGTCCATGGTCTTAATTATACGTTTCTTGTAAGATGGAGGTAGTGATCACACCTCTCCTTCTGTGCTGTTAGGGTCAGATGAGGAAATGTGTGTGTCCACTCAAGCAGGGGTCAGTAAATCCTGTTTGGCACCGTCCTCAAAATATATGCAAAATTGCTACCACTTCTCTCACCTCCATCCTAGCTTTGAATCTATTGCCTCATTATTATATTATTATTATATTATTGTTTCATTATGGCAGTAGAGTCCTAACTGGTATTCCTGTTTCTGCTCTTATATGTCAATCTGTTCTCAATCCAGCAGCTGGAGGAAGCCTTCTAAACATCAGATCGTCTTACCCTCTGCTGAAAACTGTCAGTGGCTTTCCACTTCACTAAGAGTGAAACCAGAATCCTTACATTCTTTTGCACGCTTTTTTTTTTCCCCCTTTACCTCTCTGATCTACCAGTTTTCTATGGCTCGCCCTGCTCCAGTCACACTGGCTTCCATGCTCCTGTCTCAAAGCCTTTGCATTCGCTGCTCCCTCTGCTCTAGTGCTCTTCTTCCAGATGTCTGCACGGTTTACACACTCAGCTCCTCCAGGTTTTTGCTCACATCTCACTTTTTCAGTGAGGACTTTCCTGACCACCCTATTTTAAATTGCAGTACCTCGCACTCACTAACCCACATTGCTGCTTTGTTTGTCTCCATAGCACATACCACCATCTGTAGGTTTTACTTCTCTCCCTCCATCCCACTAGAACATGAACTCCATTGTTTATTTTGTTCACTGCTGTTTTCCCAGGGCTGAGAACAGTGCCTGGCATGTGGTATTTTTTCTGATAAATGAGTAAGCTGGAAACTACTGAAGAGATTTGAGGATTATTGATGGCGTATTTATTCTTCCACTAAGAAGTAAGGGTATCAGCTGAGATTTCAGTGAATTGCCCAAGCCTAGGCTTAGTGTCAAGACCATAATCAAAACTACTTTCCCCAGAGGGCCACCCTGGTGGTGTAGTGGTTAAGTTCACATGCTCCGGTTCGCAGGCCCGGATCTGAGGTGTGGACCTACACACCTCTCATCAAGCCACGCTGTGGCAGGCGTCGCACATATAAAATAGAGGAAGATGGGCACAGGTGTTAGCTCAGGGCCAGTCTTCCTCACCAACCAAAAAAAAACTCCTTTCCCCAATAATCTGTGTCTTGCAGGTTTGTTGGAAAGCTCAGTTCAATCATTCATTCTTTAATTGAGCTAGAGACAGAAAACAGTGTTGAATGACATAGGCAGGGGCCCTGCACTCAGAGAGCTTGTTTTCTAGTAGGGAATAGAGACAAAATGTGTAAACATGCATAAGGAGGGTGATTTCCAGTAACAATAAGTGCTGTGAGGGAATACAGTAGGGTTCATGGAGTAGAGGGGCAGTGGGGTGCCACTTGAGTTTGAATGATCCAGGAAACACTTTCTGGAGAGGAAACATTTGAAAGGAGCCAAACACAGGAAGGTGTAAGGGAAGATCTTAGAACCAGTGCAAAGATCCTGAGGCAGAAATGAGTTTAACTTGTTTGAGCAATTAAAAGTTGGCTGTGGGACAGGAGCCGAGTGAGGAAGGAGGAGGTACACACTGGAAGCTTCAGTAGGAGAGTGTCGAATTGGAGGCGTAAGTTACGTGAGAAGAGTTGTCTTTCTCTAAATTGAAAGAAAGCCATTCAATCATTGTTTTCCTTGTCTTCTTCCTCCACCCCCCACTCCCCTGTTTTGCAGCCACCTTTGTCTGTATGCAGTGACTACCCTGTACTTCTCTCTCTTTTGTTTAGGGCCCTCCCAGGTGTTCCTCCCTTCAAGCCCCAATCATGCTTCTCTCCGGACATGAAGGGGAAGTGTACTGCTGCAAGTTTCACCCCAATGGATCCACCTTAGCGTCTGCAGGATTTGACCGACTAATACGTAAGGCTTTTTGGTTTTTTTGGTGTTTTTGTTTTGAGGAAGATTAGCCCTGAGCTAACTGCTGCTAATCCTCCTCTTTTTGCTGGAGAAGACTGGCCCTGAGCTAACATCCATGCCCATCTTCCTCTACTTTCTATGTGGGACGCCTACCACAGCATGGCTTGCCAAGCGGTGCCATGTCCGCACCTGAGATCCGAACCAGCGAACCCCAGGCCGCCGAAGCAGAATATGTGCACTTAACCGCTGCGCCACCAGGCTGGCCCCATAGTTTTTGAATTTGAAGTAACTGCCCTCTGCCCGATAGTGATTATTTTTTAAAACCTTCACTGCCACAGAAGGTATCGGTCTGAGTTGGTCACATCACAAACTATGTGGCTAACATGCTAAATAGGGTCATGAAAATGCTGAATGGTCTTGGGTGTAGAACTTGGGGTCCATCTGGTAAGTACAGAAGGAATTACGGTAGTAGTTGGAAAGCGAGTTGCTCTGGTTTGGGAATATCTTCCTCATGGAGGCAATCATGAGCTAATGTAGCAAGACAAAGAGATCCAGATTTAGTGGGTTAGCGGGACTGATGAAGAGAGAACTTTTTCCCAAAGGTGTGAGGCTCTCTGTTGATCAGAATCTTAGCATATAGGAACGAAGGAGGGGATCCTAGAGTGACGACTCACTTGGATAATCTACCTGTACATCATTAGGATCTGCTACCAGATTCCCAGCTACTTGTCAGGAATTACCCATTTTTGAGAAATAGGTAGAAAAAATCAGTTTGGGGTCATTAGAAAAAGCAAGAGAGGGGCTGGCCTAGTGGCGCAGTGGTTAAGTTTGCACATTCTGCTACTCAGGCGGCTTGGGGTTCGCCGGTTCGGATCCTGGGTGCGCACACGGCACTGCTTGGCAAACACCATGCTGTGGTAGGCGTCCCACGTATAAAATAGAGGAAGATGTGCACAGATGTTAGCTCAGGGCTGATCTTCCTCAAAAAAAAGAAAACAAGAAAAAGCAAGAGAAAAGATAACGAAAACATCTGACTTTTTTTCTTCTGGCATCATTTGCCACATTGTGAGATGAAATGAGTCCTTTGGCTCTGTGCTTATAACCCTCTACCTCAGGGTGGATGATATCTCTCTTCACTGTCTGTTTTGATTTAGATGTTTTAGTTCTGTGATCCTTAAATTTACTGGTTGGCCAAGTATCTGGAAGGCTTAGGGACCTTTGCAGAACATCCTTGAGTTGCTGATATGCTTAATTTCATCGAACAAACCAGGAACAGTTTTATCAGCAGAAAAATAACTATGTGTGTGTGCTCCTTAATAGTGCTCACCAAACTTCAGTCCTTGCTAGACCAAGCTCCCTCAGGATAGGAACTGTCTATTCAGTTACCCCCTTTTACCCCAGCACCTGGCATGTAACAGGTGCTTAGTACATGTGGAATGAGTAAATGTGGTATAAAATCATTGCTGTGTGACTTTCAAGTCAGTTGCAGCTCCCTAGGTTTTCCATAAGTGCCATCATTTTGCAATCTGCTTATACTCATAGCAGACTAGTAGTAGTGAGTGTCAACTTTTTTTAAATTACGGGAAAAAAACTTAAGATTTAAAAAATTATATCCATTAACTCAATTTTTTTAACATGAAAAGTGAAAATGTTGCGTTATTTTTGTTTTAAAAAGTATCAGGAGAATTGGTCCAGCTGGTAGAACTAATAGTGTTCCAGTATAATTTCAGAACTGTTGTGGTACATTCCTAAGTCCCCATTCCGTGGCAGATAATGAGTGTCCTTTTGCCTAGTAACCTTCACAGAACCCCTGTCTCCCTCCAGTGCTGTGGAATGTCTATGGTGACTGTGATAACTATGCTACGTTGAAGGGGCACAGCGGAGCAGTGATGGAACTGCATTATAACACAGATGGCAGGTGAGGATTCTGCGTCATCGAATGACAGCTGCTTCTCATACTAATTCTTGGCATCCTTTCGCATTTCATCCTTGAGCTTTCTCTCAGGGACCATGCTGTCAGAAACTACTCCATTTTGGGCAGCTGCTTTATTATCCT